CAACGCCGGTCTCAGGGCCGCACAATGCCTCCAACAGCCCAGTCAGGGGCGAGACTCAAGGGGCTGAATGCTGGACCGCAAGCCCCGGACCGCAGTTCTCACTCCCCTTCTCCGCTCCGTCAAACACAACCCAGGCCAAAACGGCCTTGTTCAGAGGATTCCTAGAGGTAGACAGAAGGCATAAGACCAAGATTCACGAAACGTTCACAATACCTTCCAAGAGACAACCTATGGAAATGTGACAGGCCGAGTAAGTTAGACTTGCCGAGACTCGATTCAAAGAGAACCGCATGCCTGTTGACGGCAGCTAATTTCGTTCGAATCACGTGGCGACGGCTTGACAAACCTGGTTAACTCAAGGGGGTCCATGTTCGGAACGCCACGGGTAGCCACGGTGCTGGGCTTGTCGGAATCGGTAGAATCGTTGAAGGATGCTTTCGACCAGATTTCCACCATTTTCCTGCTATCGGAGTTTTTGGGCTGGGTCTGGCTCTCCTCTTCGCGTTCAACACCGCCAATATCAACGTTGATGAGCGGGCCCGGGACCACGCCACCATGTTGCCTACGGAGTGACCGAGCGCCGCGTGGCAACGGTTCTGGCCATTGAGGCCCTGGTTCTGGGATTCCTCGCGACCCTGCTTGGCATTGTGGGAGGCTACGCCATGCTCTACTGGATGCAGACTTCCTTGATAGAGGATAATTCTCCGGAAATGGCAATCCCGCTGCACATATGTTGGCCGGAAGTGATCTCCCTGCTGCTGGCGTCCATTGCCGTGTTGGCCTTGGCCCAGGCCTCCACCGCCAACAAGCTGGGACGGTTGTACATCCCATCAGCCTTGCAGGTGCTGGAATAATGATGGCATGGTAAATGTAGAGGAGCGAAACAGCAGGCTAATGCGGCGAATGGTGGACGCCTTTAACACCGGCGATCTGTCGGCACTGAATTCGCTGGTCTCGCTTTATTATGTCGACCACCAGGGCATCGATGGCTCGGAGATGTTTGGACAGGATGGTTTCGCCAGTGTTGTTAAGTTCGCCAGGGGGTCGAACCCGGGGCTCAGGGTAACTATCCAGGAGTTGGAGGCGTCAGGCGACACTGTCAAAGCGCGCCTCACCTGGTTCGAGACAGAACCCGCCCGAAGACCGGGTTCAATGGAGCATGCCTCCACCCAACGGCGGACGCTGGAGACCGTCCGGTTTGCCGACGGTCTGGCTGCGGAGCATTGGGGCAAGGGCCTGCACTGACTTCCGGCCACCCGGGAAGCGGTTAATAGACGCTTGCTGACTACCATTGAGTATGTGCAAATATGTGCCTCACGCATGAGTCTGTCCTTACGCCTTGGGGCCGTGGCAATTCGTAGAATCCCGGCCTGCCACGGCCCCAAGGTTGTCAAATTTGCACTGTCGAGACCAGGACACCTGCCTCTTGCTCCTCCCGGTCAGCAAAGCCGTTAGCGCCGTCCACCAGCACAACGTCCCTTCCCGCTGAGTCTCCGGATGCGTGTATCTGGAAGTAGTGGAGGTTCATCTCGAAGGTCTCGGTGCGGTAGGTTACCTCCACAGGTTCGTTGTTCGGGTCTGACGCATTGCCTCTCCATTGGTGGAAGGTCTCCCGCCTTACCAAACGCCCCGGGGCTTCCAGGGCCGAACTCCACTGGGTTTGAAGAGTGTTCGACAGCACGTGCCGTAGCTGGGTCGGATTGCCATCCCAGTCAACAAAGAGACTATCACTCACCGGATCTCCGCAGTCCCAGCTACCGCTTACGTAGTCGCAGTGTCGTACACGTCAGCCAGCGCATCGCTGCCAATCTGGCCGTTACCGTCGTAGTAAAACTTGTAAAGGAACTCATTCAGCATGATGGTATACCCGGTTACATCCTGGTGTATGGAATGCCAGTCACCCCAGTCAATGGTGTATCTACCATCGAGTTCCACCCGGTAGACGGCAATTTTGCTTTTGCCGCAATAGGCCACCAGCCCTACGCTCTCATCCCTCTTGCAAAGGTCGTAGAAGTTTTCTTGCTCCTCGTCCTGTTGGGTTGTATCTTCCTCCTGATCCTGCTCTTCCTCTTCCTCTTCCAGCCCTTGCCGGATTACGGTTACTCGGTATGTGGTGGATGCGCTGGTTTGGCTGTCCATAACGGTTATGGAAACTTCGTTTTCTCCAACATCCAGGTCTACCTGATGACCATCTTCGTTGGGGCTGCTGTCGGAAGGGCTGATCTCCACTTCCACACCGCTGCTTGTAATTGGAACGGCAATGACCTTGGTGCTGTTGACTTCATTAGGAACAGTCACGCTATATTGCAGGGCTCCGCTATTGAAGGTGAAGGGGATCTGGCTGAAAGTTAGTCAGGCCAGGCTCGTATCAAGCGAGGGCAGCCCTCGCACCGGGTCAGTGGATACCTTGGACGCCTCTTTGCCCAGCCCTTCACCGTCACTATAGCTGGCCAAAGAGCGGAGGAACATTCCCGTGTCAGCGGAATCGGGATTGTAACCATGAGAAGAGGCGCCGTCGATGTCTACCCAGTTATTGGCGCCATCGCTCGACTTTTCCCACTGCCAGCTTGTCGAGCTAGGCCCTCCGTCCGGATCGATCAACGTGGCTAATACCGGAATTCCCACCTGGGGTTCGGTAGACGACAGGCTTACCCACCCGTCCTCGTCAACGTTTGCCAGGTTGATTGTCACAGTAATGGTATCGTCAACTGCGTTGTCCTGATTATGGCCGGAGTCCTTTCCGTCGGACACCTGCATGGTGACCACGAGGATCGACTTGGACTCGAAGTCCAGGGTTGCGCCGCCAGCTACTTCCAACCTGCCCGTCGTAGTCCCCGCCTCGAACTGGCCCGAGTCGACGCCAACGGCCAGAGAGTATGTCAGGGCGTCCCCCTCCGGGTCAGTCGCGGTTATGGCATCTCCCAATTGGACTCCGGCGGCGGTGTTCTCACTCAAGGTACGAAAGACGCTTCCTCCATCATCAAACTGCGGGGGGGTTATTCGGCGGCCGGTACACCGTATAGGACACGATTCCCGTGGCCTCCTTACCGGTCCCCTCGCCATCGTCGTAGGAGGCCACAACCCTCAAGAACTTACTGGAGTCCGCGGCTACCGGGATGTAGTTGCCCAAAGCCGCCCCGTCAATGTCGTCCCACACTAATGACAGGCTGCTGTCGGCTTTTTGCCACTTCCAGGTGAGGTTGCTCACCGAGCCATCAGGATCGCTCAAATAGGCATTTAATTCCACGCCGACCTGTGGTTCATCGTCGCCGAACCCGATAGCGCCGGCTTCCTCAACGTTGGTTACATTGATGTTCACGTTAATGTAGGAAGCCCAGGCAGTGTCGGCGTTGCCGTCCGAGTCCTTGCTGTCACGGACCTGAACCCTGACCGAGTAGGAGTCCTTGGCCTCGTAGTCCAGTGTGCCGTTAGTCGCCAGAAGAATCTGTCCGGTACCGGTGTTGAGGTTGAACTGGCTGGCGACGACGCCAGCATATAGGTCAAAGTGTCGTTGTCGTCGTCTGTCGCCGAAACCGGTGAACCAATATTACCTTTGCCTGCGAGATCCTCTGCGACGGAGCGAGTGGCTGAGGCGCCGTCAGTAAAGGTCGGGGCCCCGTTGGTCGCCGCCTGGGCCAGGACCGCATTCTCCGAGATCACCATTACCGTCTTGAGAGTGGTATTGTCGTATTCGTCCCGGTACATGGCGACAATCCTCAGATACTTGTCGGCATCCGTTTCCACCGGTGTGTAATCGAACAAGGCCGTGCTGCCCATATTGTTAACCAAAACATTGGTCAAGGTGGCCCCCCGGGGGGCCGGAACTATTTTGTACCGTCCAACTCACCATATTCGAACCTGAGAGATCTACGCCATCCTGGTCGCTCAGAGTAGCGTACAGCTTGCTGCCTACCACAGGCTGGGAACTGTCCAGTGCTACTTCCCCGGGCTCGTCAGTGTTGGTAACCCGTATCTCAATATCGATCACATCATCCCAGCTGTAATCGGCATTCCCCCCTTTATTCTTGTTATCTTTGACCCAGACACTCAGGTCGTATGAGCTTGTGGTCTCGTAGTCGAGTTCCTCATCAAGCCTGAATTCAGCCTCGCCTGCGTCAAAATAGAAAGGACCGGGGGACTGGAAGTCCAGGAGTAGACCAGGGAATCATTATCCGGGTCCGTGACGCCAATTTGAGCGATGCCCTGGTCTGCTGCGAAATCTTCCCGAACTTCAAACACCGATCCGTCCTGGGTATTGAAATAGGCATCCGCATTGTGGGTGACGTCAATGTTGACGCCGATAGAGGCGTCGACGCTGAAGTCCAGGCCATCAAGCCCTCCCTTTCCATCGGTTACGGTTACGGTCAGTTCAAATTGATCTCCTCCCACGAAATTGGTGGACCCGCCCTTCGTGTATATCTCTCTTGTCTGGGAGTTCAGGGCAAAACTGGCGGCGTCGGTTCCCGTAAGGAAGGAGGTCAGCGAGTCCCCATCGGTATCTGTGGCCTCAGGAACAGTACCAACGTAACTTGCTCCACCATGGGTGTAATGAATTTTGAAGCTGGCTGATGACTGGCTGAAGGTGGGCGTGGTATTTGGATTCCCGCAGGCAGACAGCTTCTGGTCCGTACTGTGACGTACCCAGAAACGCAACCCATGCCCGGTAAGTCCGCCGCCCAGGTCTTCATTCTCCGGCACCGGTCGGAACTCCCTGCCGGTCTGGCGGCTTCCACTTCCCAGGTTGTAGGCGTAAACGTGTTTGTCAGCCGAGCCCAGCACCCAAATGCTTGGCTGCCGAGAGGAATCTTGACTGTGCTCAACCAGTGAGGCGAAAAGACCAGGGAGCTACCCACGCCCTGGCCACGTAAAGAGCTTCTGACACAAATGGCGAAGTCTTTCGAAGGGGTAAAGCGGAGCGCAATTAACGCCTGGATGCCTCTGGGATGAATCCCGGCAGCAGATCAGTAAGGTAAACCCGGTTGGACTATTCCGATGGCCGTCAGGCAGCTACAGAATCCCTGGGGTTTTGACGTAGATACGACGAAGCCAAGTCAACTGAAACGGCTTCTATAGGTTAATGCAGTTTCCGGGTTTGACATCGGCCTAAAGAAAGCTGAACATCCAACCATCTCACCAGGGAGAAAAGCATATGCCAGAGAACAGGCGCATGACCACGAGGCTTAAGGAACTGTTCGAGCGTCCGGAAATTTTTGTCCTGGCCGGCGGCATGAACGCCATGGGAGCCAAGATGGCGGAAGTGGCGGGGTTCGAGGCCTTCTACATGTCCGGGGGAAACACTTCAGCCCAACTCATGGGCTGGACGGAAGGCGGCACCAGCATGCGGGACATGGTGGACAACGCCAGGCGCATCGTAAACACCGTGGACATCCCGGTGTTCTGCGACATGGATACGGGATACGGCGACGCTATCACCGTTTACGACACGGTGAAGGAATATATACGGGCAGGGATAGCCGGGGCGCACCTGGAGGACCAAACCTACCCTCCCAAGTCCGGCCCGCGCCGTCGCTGTGTTTCCATTGAGGAAATGGTGGGCAAACTTCGGGCTGCAATGGACGCCAAGATAGAACTTGACCCGGACTTCGTCATCGTCGCCAGGTGCGACTTTGCCGGCGTCCCCGGCTCCACCTTCGAGGGCGTAATGGAGCGCTGCCTGGCCTACAAGAGCCAGTCCGGCGCGGACGTAGTTTGCCCTGCCGTTCAGTCCTGGGAGGAAAACAAGAAGCCATCCGGCGGATTCCCGGCCCGGTGCTTCCCCTGTTCACCCACAATAGCCAGACCAACCCCACACTGGAGGAACTGCAGGAGGCCGGAGCCGCCGCCGCCTGGTATCCGGCGCTGACCACCATGGCCGGGTTGCAGGCGTCCTGGGACCTGTTGCACGATTTCGGGGAACGCGGCACCGGCGCCATTGACGACTTTCTGGCAGTGGCCGCGCAAAGCAGGTGGGGAGTCGCCAGCAACGGGGGAATCCTGGGAGCCCAGCGCATCCGGGACATGGAGGACAAGTACCTTCCGTGATTTGGCCACAGCCGTAGTTGCCCAGGTAATCGGCTGAGGCCGACGGTCGTGGCGGCTGTTTAACCTTTTAGCCGAATGCGCGCCCGCTACCCGCCGCCCGCATAGCGGCGATACCGTCGGCCAGCCCGAAGTGGGGAATGCCAAGCACGCTCGTGGTCCTGGTACAGTCCAGCCCCAATCGGTCAGGATTGGGGGTGAAAGCGGGTTGCGTACCCTGAGGAGTGTTTGCCGGCACCACAAGTTCACGGTCGAGGCCAAACCCATCGGCCACGGCCAGGCCAAAATCATACATACTTACCCAGTCACGACCCGCCACGTGGTGAATGCCGGGGTGGGAATCCTCTACCAGCTTCGCGATGCCGTCCACCAGGTGCTCAACGTATACGGGCGTTCGCATTGCTTCGGTGGAGCCCGAGTAGGGCTGGCCGCCGTGCAGGCGCTCAATCAGCGAGGGTACGAAGTTCCGCCGCCCGGGTGCGGGCCAACCGTAAACGATGCTGGTGCGGAGGACACTCCAATCTGAGGCCAGCCAGGCCACCTCCTGCTCTGCCTCCCACTTGGTGCGGCCATAGTGCGTTGTTGGGTTTGGAGTGTCGTCTTCACGGTAGAGGCCATGCTGACCGTCGAACACATACTCGGTGGACACGAACACCAGCCTGGCGTTATGTGATTCGCAAAGCCGCGCTATTTCGGACGTGGCGGCAACGTTGACCGCCGTTGCCATTGCGGGTTCCCTTTCTGCCGTTCCCACGTCGGCCATTGCCGCCAGATGAACTGCCACATCCGGTTGGATGAGACCGAACAATTTCTCCAGCCTCACGGGATCAGTCAGCTCTAACTGGTACCAATGTTGGCGTCGTCCCCGGAAGGGCGGGCATGGAAGGTGCAGAATACCTCGCGCTCGGGTGTTGCGCCCAAGCGCTTTACCAGGTATCGCCCAATGAATCCGCTGGCGCCGATTAACAGTACTCGCACCCGTTGTCCTCCTTAAGACAGACAAGGCATTTGGGAATTGCCGCTCTATCTGCTTCCCGCGGACCTGCCGCCGTCCACCATGTAAATGCCTCCGGTACAGAAGCTGCTCTCGTCGCTGGATAGAAACAGCATCATCCTGGCGACCTCCTCTGGATTCCCGTACCTTCGGAGCGGTATGCGCTCGGCCACCGACTGCTTTGTAGTTTCGACAGTTACGGAAGCGTCGTCAAAGGCAGCGGTTCGCTGCTCCTCGATGGAGCGCATCATACGGGTCTCGATGGGTGCGGGATTGACGGTATTGACCCGAATGCCATGCGGCGCCCCCTCCAGCGCGGCGGTGCGCATTAGCCCAATTACGGCGTGCTTGCTGGTGTTGTAGGCCGACATTTCCGGAGTTCCGCCGATGCCCGCCGTGGAAGAGGTGATGACGATGCTGCCGCCGCCCCGTTCCCGCATCGCCGGGACAGCGTACTTTAAGGCAAGCCACACGCCGCGTACGTTGACCGCGATTACCCGATCAAATACGTCGATTGGATAATCGGGTATGGTGGCCAGGGTCCCTTCGATCCCGGCGTTGGCCAGAAGGACGTCGATTCCACCCCAGCGACTGACGGCCGCGTTAATGTAGGCCTGGCTTTGGTCGGGATCCGTCACGTCGGCAACGGTGTAGCTGGCCCGGTCCTCTCCAATGGACCGGACCACTTCCTGGAGTGCCCCTTCGTCCAGATCCACCAGCGCCAGACTCGCTCCTTCTTCGGCAAACAATCTTGCCGCAGCCTGACCGATGCCGCCGGTGGCCCCGGTAATGACGGCCACTTTTCCTTCCAATCGGTCCATGATGCTACTCCTTCTCCGTTGGCTGACTTGTCCCGTACGCACAGGTTTTATCACTTACTCGTTGGGCGGGGCAAGCGTTGGCAGATCGTCCGGTGTTTGACGTCAACTGTTCCTGCCGAATTGCGACGATAATTGGTCAAGTTTCACCTCACCGTTCTTGGACAACCATGTGCCTGCTTGCAATGAATAGTTCCTGGAAAGTGTCCAGGATATCTCTCATTCGGCTTGGAACAAGAGGACAAGGTCGTTCACGGTATGGACGACCAGCAGATTCCCGTATATTTGAAACCTCTCGAACGTCGGAACAAGTTCCAGGTACCGTTCTTCCTGCTCTATTATGCCGGACGGGTTGGGACATAGTTCCAAAGTCCTGGATATATCATCTCTTATGTCGATGGAACCGTCGTCATTGACCAGGTAACCTCCCGACTCCGGCTGTGAAGCGTAGGAATTACAGCCCCCCGATCCCCCGACACCGTCCTCACCGAACCCGATCGTCACTTGCGTTCCCTGAATCAGGCGAGTCACTCGAAACAGTCCAATATCGGAGTCCCCTTGACCTGGGTCCACGAAAGCTTTAAGGCGCCATTCGATTCCAAACACGCTATCGACAGACTTGCTCAGCGGCTCGAATATAAGGGTCCTGCCCCTGCTCGTCCGAATCCTCAGCCGCCTCGTCCCTTCCTCTTCGCTGACGGAGTACTCGACCGCCTGCGACAAGTCGTCACCGAACCGGCCTTCGTGTTCCCACATCTCTTCGGAACACGTTGCCGTATATTCGGTCATTGAAGTTGTTGGAAAATCCAGGCGCCCGTCAGATGTCTCGTAAAGCGCCACATAACCACGGCATGCAGTCGTGCCAACTGCTACGCGATCGTCGACCAACGCCAGGGTAGCAGCCCTCACTCTTCTCTGCTTCCGTCCTCGACCACCATTTGCCACCCGGTGCCCGTCAAGTCGACGGCACGACCACTGAGGGGCGCCTGCCGGACAAAAATCAGCCGCGTGTCACCCCGGCCGTCAAGAATCTCCATTCGGTCGTCCACGATGCGGAAACTCCTGCCTTTCCTCAGCAGTGCAAAATAACTATCAGCCTGGTCCATGATTCCGGCAGGGACCTCGCAAAGCATTGCCGTGGACCAAGAGGGTGGGGCAGTGAAACTGCCGTCGACACCTGCCACCGGCGTCCCATCCTCGGACCGCCCTCCAAACCCGTTGCACCCGTCGACTCCGCCGTATAAGTCCCCGTCCAACTTCAGCCACAGGATAGTGCCTTCAATAGGGGCACTTCCGTCCAGTCCTTGAAGCACCCAAGTCGAATCATCGGGAGAGGGGGCCGTGGATACGGCGGTCAAAGGTTCCTCATCCGTCCTGGTCAAATCCGGTAATGCACCGTCAGGACCGGTACAGGCAATGCCTGCCAGAAACAGCCCAGCTATCGCCAAAATCGAGACAAGCCCATTCTTCCACACTGTGTCACTCTTCCACGGGCCTGGATTGCTAACGGTCAATAAATACAACATTGGCCGACCTTGGCAGTGTCACAGAATAACACTGCGGGCTCACCTCCCGTTGCCTGCCCGGCCGCTGAGCCACGCCGGTAGGTTTGCTGAGCAAGCCGAATTCTAGGCAGACTGAGCGATGGACCACCCAGTCGATGTGGTCTTGTCTCATATTCCGAACCTGGATTGGTGCGGATTCCTCCATTGGCTACCCCTTGCAGGAAAGAATTCCTCCGCTCTTGCTCGCCCGCAAGTGTTAAAATCCCCTAGAAGACTGACAACTTATAACTGACCTTTGGCCACTGGCGATGATCCGCTGGCCAACCGGAGGAGTCTTGGCAATAACAGAATTGGAAATCAGCAAACGCACCAGTTTCGCGTCGGGCGAGAGCTTCGGCGATGTGGGAGCGTATGAGCTTCTGGAGGGCACGGCCCACTACGCGGTGGACCCGTTGCACGCCCGAAACCAGGGGATTACGGACTTGGACCTGGCGCCCCGCAACAACGCTGGCAATGTGGAGTTTTCGGCGGACTTTGCCATGCTTCAGCCCGTGAACATCGACCGGGGCAACCGGCGCATCCTGTTCGACGTGGTGAACCGGGGCCGGAAGACCGCCCTGGGCATGAACAGCGTACCCTCAGCCACCGACCCCATGGCGCCCCTGGAGGCGGGCAACGGCTACCTGATGCGCCGGGGCTACACGGTGGTCTGGGGCGGCTGGCAGGCCGACGTGCCGTCCACGCCCGGCCTCATCGGACTTCATGTACCTGAGGCCGTCGGCCCCGAGGGAGCCCTGACCGGCAAGATAATGTGCCAGTTCCAATGCAACGAACCCACCCAAGTGTTCCTGCTGGCAGACCGGGAGCACCTGGCTAATCCCGCCGCCGACCCCGAGGAAACGGAGGCCAACCTGACAGTGCGGGACCTGCCCAACAGTCCGGCCACGCCCGTTGACCGGAGCCAGTGGTCTTTCATCCGCGTCGAGGATGTGGATGTGGAGCCGAACTATAACCACGTCTACATGCCCTCCGGGTTCGAACCGGGAAGGATATACCAGTTGGTCTACACCACAACCGGCAGCCGGATTGTCGGCCTGGGGTTCGCGGCCATGCGGGATGTGGTCTCCTTCCTGAAATACGCCCCGGCCCGGTTCGACGGGAGACGGGGCAACCCCTGCGCCGGGGCCATCGACTACGCCTATGCCATGGGCCGTTCCCAGAGCGGCCGCTTCCTGCGCCAGTACATCCACACGGGAATCAACGAGGACGAAGAGGACCGGGTAGCCCTGGACGGGATCATCCCTCACGTGGCCGGCGGGATGCGCGGCGAGTTCAACCTGCGCTTCGGGCAGCCTTCCAAGGACGTCTGCTACATCATCCCCGAGATGTTCCCCTTCACAGACACCCCACAGACTGACCCGGTGACCGGCGCCCAGGGTTCCCTGCTGGACATGATGGAGCAGCGGGGTAGTGTGCCCAAGATCATGTTCACCAACACCTCCGCCGAGTACTGGCGGGGCGATGCGGCGCTGATCCACACCGACCTGGAGAACCTGACCGACGCCGCCGAGTCGCCGTCAGTCCGCCGCTACCACTTCGCCGGTTGCCAGCACGGGTCGGGTGAGTTTCCTCCCCTGGAAGTCCGCACGAATGACGGCATCAGGGGACAGCTTCCCTTCAACAGCGTGGACTATGCTCCCCTGCTGCGGGCCGCGCTGGACAACCTGGACCGCTGGGTTGCCACAGGTGAGGAGCCTCCCGCCAGCCGCCATCCCAGCCTGAACGACGGCACGGCAGTGGAGTCTTACACCCTGCTGGAGCGGTTCGCCCAACTCCCCGGCGTACGGGTCCCGACCCAGGCCACCAGGGCGATAAGACTGGACTACGGCCCGGAGGCGCATCTGGGGCGCACCACCAGGCTGCCCGCCGCTGAGGGGGCGGAGTTTCCGGCGCTGGTGGCCGACCTTGACGAGTCCTTCAACGAGCGGGGCGGCATCCGGATGCCGGACCTGGCAGTGCCGGTCGCCACCTACACTGGCTGGAACCTGCGCGACGAGAGCATAGGCAACGCCAATCTCTTCATCGGCATCACCGGCGGCCTGGCCGGCTGGACCCTCCCGCTGCCCCCTACCGCGGCCGAGCGCGAGGCCACCGGCGACCCACGGGTGTCCATCGAGGAACGTTACGCCAGCCGGGAAGACTACCTGGAGCAGGTAGCCCGCGCCGCGATGGACCTGGTGGCCGAAAGCTACATGCTGGAGGACGATGTGGACGAGGTGGTGGACCTGGCAGGTAGGAAGTACGACTACTTTGTGGGAGACGGCGGGGAGAGCTGAGGTTGGCGGGGGCCCTCCGTAACGACGACTTGGTCAGGCAATCACAGCATAGTTTTCCGTCATATTGAGCAAAGCCGAGGTTTTAAATCGTACCCGTGAGCGTTGTTTCAGTTCCCAACGACGACTCACTCTGGGATTCCAGACCCCTCGGCAAGCTCAAGGACGCATACCGCCTCTATCACGGACTTTGGCTCAACTGGAACACATATAAAATGGGATTGCCTGGGAGGTAGCATGACGAAGGTACTGGTTGTGGTTTTCGACGGGCTTCAACCCGCGCAGGTCACCGAAGGGCTGATGCCCAATTTGGCCGCCTTCGCTGCCTCGGGGGTGACTTTCGCCAACCACCATGCCGTGTACCCCACTGTGACCCGAGCCAATGCCTCCAGCATGGTTACTGGTCGCCACCCCGGCGGTCACGGACTGTCGGCCAATACACTGTTGGTGCCCGACTACGACCCAAACCAGGCCATCCCCGCAATGGAGCCTCAACTGGAGCAGGTGACCCGGAAGACCGGGCGCGTCCTGCTGTCCCCGACCCTGGCCGAGGTACTTTCACAACACGACCAGGAATACGTGGCCATCGGCGTAGGTACCAGCGGCAACGCCTACCTGCACAATCCCACTGCCCAAGTCTGCGGCGGCGCCACCATCCACCCGGAGTTTACCCTTCCCCGCGCCCTGCACGAGGACATAACCGCCCGCTTCGGCCCCTGGCCGGATGAAGGCCGCCCCAACACGCTTCGCATGGCCCACGCCGTGCGTGTCCTGACCGAGTACATACTGCCGGAGCGGGACCCGTCAGTGGCGCTCATCTGGTCGTCGGAGCCGGACAAGTCCCAGCACGACGCCGGGGTTGGGTCGGACCTTTCCAACGCTGCTGTGGGCGAGGCCGACGCCCAGTTTGGCGACATCCTGAGATGGCTGGCCAAGACGGGAAGGGCTGAAGAGACCAACGTCATGGTGGTCTCGGACCACGGATACTCCACCATTGGCCAAGTCGTGAATGTCCAGCAACAAGCTCGAGAGGCAGGCTTCCCGTACGGCGGCGAACCGGGTGGTGTCGTGGTGGCCAACAACGGCGGCACAGTCCTGTTCTACGCCAGTCCCTGGGAGCGGGACACCATTGTGCGGCTGGCACAGTGGTTGATGGCCCAGCCCTGGTGCGGGAATGTGACCGTAGGGGAGAGAGTGGGCCAAGTCGAAGGTTCGCTGCCAGCGTCCCTGGTAGGCAATGAAGGCGAGCGCGCCCCCGACCTTACCATGTCCTTCCGATGGCGCCCCGACGCCAACGAAGCCGGATACGCCGGGACGATTTACTCTTCGGGCGGGGTCGCGGGACAGGGCCAGCACGGGTCCATGGGCCGGTCGGAACTGCACAACATCCTGTTTGCCAGTGGCCCCGGTTTTAAGGAGAGTTTGAGGGTGGATGCCCCCTCCGGCAACATCGACCTGACGCCGACTATCCTGAAACTGCTGGGACTGCCCGCCGTCGACGGTATGGAAGGCCGGGCCCTAGAAGAGGCAATGGCTGGCGGCCCCGCCGAGGTGGACTGGTCGTCGGACTTCTACAGTACCGAAAGCCAGGTAGGGGACGGGGTATACCGTCAGCAGATCAGGCTGTCCCGAGTCGGAGATTCCGTGTATATCGACGAAGGGACCAGCAGCCTGGGCCGCAGGTAGGCCGCAGCGCTGCTTGATCGAGAAATAGCCTTGGAAAACTCGGAGGCGCCAATTGGCACGATACCGTATTGGTCGACATATGCGCGCCTCGCCGATGCGACTTCGCAACTGTCGCGATTGGTATCGCTCTTTTCCTTTTCGGAGCTGTGGGAAACGAATGCTGTCTGATCCCGGAGGTGGGCGATTCGAAAGAGATCCCCCAAACGACCTGGGATAGGTAGCCGAGCCAGTGGCGGTAGTAAACTGGTTG